ATGATTTTATGCTTGTGAATGGCTCAATGACATGTACCTGATTCATTAGTAAGAGAATAAAATAAAAACACAGCTCTCCTCAAAACTCAATAATTTCACGTGGAATTTCAGTAAAATATTTCCGTCTACCTACAATTTCGTAAGTTAAAATATCCCAATGATAAAAACATATTAAATTGCTCCAAACATTGTTCAACTGGGTTCCTTTCACCAGCTTCCCGATTACCATATAACTGTGGTCGGTTCCCTATACTATTTTGATCATGTTGTTCAAATAAATTAAATTCCAGTTATCAGTTTAGATTGATTTTAACGCTATTAAGCCACTGAAGATAGATGTTCATTTCATAAAAATTGAGTATTATTACTTAACGTCTCCTTAATCTTCATGTACATAAGAGACTTGAAACTTTAAACATTTGACATTGAATGGTTTTTATTGATAACAAATGCTTGTGTTTGATTTTCTGCTTGCCTAGCTTTGGCTGGCCGACTGGCTGCTGGAAAATAATCCAAATAAACCTCATCCCATCGATATGGTCATCTCTTGAAACACTAATAAGAAAATTTTAAAGAACGTATGAAGGATTATGAGAATGCAGTTTTCATAAGAACCTATAGTCATATTTGAAAATAAACATATACTTCGTTTTGTTAAATTTCTTCATAGTAATGAATGTGAAGCGGTAGTGGGTTGCAGTCTAGCGTGACAAGTTCCGTGTTACCTGTAATGTATTTACGAACTGACCACTGAGTGAAGGCACATCAATGGTGCTTAATTTATATAGGAGTACCAGTACTTGAATACTTTGTAATCATCAAGTAAATAGGTTGCCAAAACACTATAACTTGCTAGCATGTTCGGAAGTGTACATCTATGGATATAGTTAAACCACTTATAAGCATTTCGAAATTTTACCTTAAATCGACTTTAATTTAGCCGAAGAATTCAGTGGCATTTGCAGTTTTACTATCAACTAGTTCAACGGATATACTTGGAGTTATGAGACACTATTTCATACTCACTTTTAAAAAAATAGTTTAAGAGGGGATTCGCTCTCTTGTCTATATAATCAAACTTTTATTACTGATTACAATCATATATTCGTATGAAACCATTGCTAAACATACCTTACCATGCGACTGAGAAACGTCCTATAGAATTCCTGGGACCATTTCACTAAAGACGTTGCAAAACAATGCGAAAGATAATTGTTAGGATGCCAGTAAGATGGAGAATTAGAAAGTTGATGAGGAATTTATGGTATCACTTGATGTGTCAGCATTACTCACGAATGTACCCTTAGTGGGAACAGGAGATTATACATCCGTAGGATAACTGATAGTACTGAATATATTGTATGATACAGATATATATATATGGATATATCTAAAACGTACTCTAGTAGCTACGAACAAACCAGTGATCGTAGATAGAAGATTGTGAACGCACATAAAGGCAATATATTAGAATTACAATAAAGTGCACAATTATGAACAAATCAGTTATCCTTTTATATATAAAAAAATCACACTTACAATAGCTTAAGTAGAATTCTAAACTATTGTACTTCACTTAACAAGGGGTTCGAATGTTTATTGAATATATACCATACTTCGTATTGGGTGAGGCTACTGCGTTATCTGGGATAGATTATTTTTATTATAAGTAAATGGGATTGGAACGAGATTAGCTGGATCCTCAAAACTCATTTGATTAGTGTGGTTGTTATTGTACATTTGGACAATCCATATTCACTGTGCGAGTGATGAATTTGGCAATATTTTTTAGTAAAGGTCTCAAGGATAGTTGAAAAGTATTTCTTTGATAGCAACCTGTAAGCACTCCATGTTCGAACAAACATATCTTTCATCAAGCAACTTTGCAGGTTTCATCAGTACGAGAAGGTATAACACACATTTATGAGCTGGAAAGATCATTCATTCGCCTTCTCAGTTCATTGAGCTTTGTTGCACGAATAGAACCGGTTGAGGTTTTCAGGGATTAGACGGAATTTTTTATTTAAACATAAAAATAGAGATATCTCGAAGTAAACAAATCTTTGCACTTCCACTAATCAAGTTTCTAGGTAACTTATCTGAAATGTTTTCAGCCAATAAAGTTGCACTTTAAGTATTCTTAAAATACGTAAGTCAAGTGCAGATTCGTACTATAGGTTGTTGCAGAGTTAGTCGGATTTCAGCGATCTCAACAGGAACTAGTCTTAGATAGGCGACCAATAAATACGAGAGAGTGATCAACATATATAGACCATAAACACTGACTGAAATTTCACAAGTCATAAGTGAATAATTATCATGTTGATCTAAGAAATACAACCACGGCAGATAGGAAGTTTACGTCCCGTAATACTTGACATAGAAACCTAATTATGTTCTATCAAAAGATTTGAACCTATTAAATCATTTCACTGAAATAGTGGATTCGATACTACCAATATCGAAGAAAAAATAAACACACATCATTATTTTTGAATGTGAAACGAATTACTTGGTCGTAAATAAAAAACGATGTATTTATTCTTTGTTAATATCAGGATTAATAGTCAAATCTAAATAAAGAGGTTTATTATAACAGGTAGCGAAATGAGTACTGATGCGATAAATAAATCCATCTTGCCAAATTCGAAGAGTTTGGCATTACCAGATGGGTATGATTTCAGCGAGTCTACATTATAATAATTTGTCATCATAGGTGATAAAGTTGAAGATGTGAACCGCGTGTTAAAAGAACTTAATACAAGTCAAAAGCACATTTCTCTTACATGTGAATAAGAGAAGAACAACCAACTTCCTTTTCTAGACATACTGATGAGTAGGAGATGACGGTTCCATCCAACGTTCTACATATAAAAAGCCAATATCTTAATTTCCATAGTTACTGCCTAATTCATTACGAGCGTGGACTAATAAAGGACTTATTCAATAGAATCTATCGTATTTGTACTAGCGATACTACTGGAGTAGAGACGAAGCTCTTGACTGATACGTTGATGAATAATGGTTATTCATTGAAGTTCATAAACCGGTGGAAGGGTTGCAATACGATTAGATGTATGAGGCCTCTGGCACCCAAAAAGCTAGTTTACATTATGTTACAATTTAGAGGCGACACAAATAGTCTCATGTTGAAACGGAGACTTAAATTAGCCATCAACCGAACATTTTATGCAGCCCAACCTGTCATTATTGAAAAGACAAGGTCTGTCTCACCAAAAGTCCAAACAACACGTAAGCGACTGTGCCACATCCTATTGTGTCTATCAGTTTACACGTATGTGCGGAAACGCGTACATAGGGAGGAGCAATCGTGATTTGCAATTAAAGGTGGGTGAACAAATACTAAAATGGCTACAGAGACAAATGAATTCCAATGGTCAAATAAGATCATCGGATAGACAGATATCATCCTCCATTGCGAAACATTTGATTGAGACCGGTCATAAGTTTGACATCAAATCAGCATTTGTAGTGTTATACAAAAGCCTTAGAGGACATAAACTAAGGTTTAGTGAAGCCTCGGCTATACGGAAACTGAAACCCTCTTCATGCGTTCAAAAACAATTTGTCCTTAACCTTAACTCACTCTGGTAATACTGATTTATTATCCAGAGTGGTAATCACATTGATTTTGTGTATTTTTTTATTTTGTTACAGTTTACCTTTAATCTGTCTAGCTGACCTTTTAATTTTCATATAAAAATGTCTTAACAAGTATATGTGTGATCAGATTGTTCGAAATGTATTGCGCAAATATATCACATAATTCTGATAACCTTCGACTTCTCATTGCATTATCGTAGTTGACTTAGTTATTCTAGAGCATCTGATCAATGTTAGGAGAATAGGAGTAATTAGGAACCATTCAATTCTTGGTGTATTTCATCATAACTTATAATTTTATTCATTTTATTGCCTTTGTATTTTATTCTAGGAAATGTGAAAAACAAACGGATTCACCCTATTTTAAACTTAGTCAGTTAGTCGACCAAAACTGTAAGCTTAATGTATGTGTTTAAATAACGACTTAAATAATAATATCAACGAGAATGCAAATAATGTTTGTGATTGTAGAAAAAAAGGTTTCAAGTAGCTACTAGCAAATCTGCCTACGTAGATAAGTGACATCTAGTGCTGTCAAAAATGAAAGTTTACTTCAGTATCCAATTCATACTAACTTTACTTATTTATTTGAACACATAAATATTGATACAAAAGGGCACCGAATACATATGAACCACACAAGTCACCTGATGTGTGTATAGGCTGTGATACTGCCCGGGTGCCCAGATCGAAGCAGGTGATTTTCTTAGGGAGCAACACCCGGAGCCTTTGACCTAGAGGTTCAATCCACAAGGTAGCGGAGCAACGTTAGGAAACGCGACCCCATGATAGCTGGTGACCAACAATAGGTTCGTACGCTATTCGTTCTTTCAGGACTCTGGAGTCCATGTGCGCCATTGGTTTGAAATCACGGTTTTGCAACTCCCCTAGGTGAACGTTCTATGTTCATCGACCCGGTTAAAGCACCGGAAATTCGTTTCTCGTCCTCTCAATTTCGTAAACACTGCCGCCACGAGAAAGCAGTGAGTAGGACTTCATTGGAAGTGGCTGCATATGCGTGGCTATGTGAGAGAATTTCGAGAAGTAGAGCGGACTCTCCCCATTTCAGCCGAACCAGGGCATTTGGGAGCGATTCATAATAAACACAATTAATATATAATAAGCGAAAACTACTGAAAATCTGTGGCTTGTGGATAGAGCTCTGAAAATATATAAATATACAAATGCATATAACTTAGTATTAGGAATCACATGTTGCAGTCATAACTAGATAGTTTTCGATGAAAACATTATTAGCATCTAGATTGGAAAGTATGTAAACTGTCAGAAATGTCAACACAGATCACGTGATTCATGATGAAGTGAAATACTCTAATGCGACAGCAACGAACGCACAAATGTGAAAAAATGTCTACTAGCAGTCATAATATTTACTTTATTGAAGTGCATTAAATTAAAATTATTAAGTACAGTTACGAAAAACAATATGAAATCAGTGAAAGTAAATGTAAAATTAAGGAGACAAAACACTACATATTCATGCATACCTACAAGAAGGTTTATCCCAAATATATACAAATTCATCGAATCAAGAAATTACGCAGCGATATCTTGAGAAATATGCAATCGAAAAATGGAAGTGCATGAGAACAGTGTTCGACGATAACACGAATATGACTGAAAAATCTGTCCATCGAATTAAACAATGATGTTAGTTCAGTGCAAACCACATTGTTTGCATAGCACACATAAGGAAGGATAAAGTACTTCAATCCACTCATCCTCAGCTTCATTCCAGTCAAAACCTAATTCGGATAATCCGTACGTTCTAATGATCTCCACATAGAATGGGGTATCTTTCAGACAGATGGGTAATGGCACGGACAAACAAGATCTGTGAAATTTTCCATAGAAAGGAGTAAAAAATTATGTTGGGGTTTATCGTATGGATAATTAATTTGTACAAGTTTTCAAATCGAGAGACGAAAATGCTTTAATTATTTCCATGTGCATAAGTGAGAAGATATCTCTATAACTCATTGTAGAATTATCAAACGATTTAGTTGAAACTCTTTCATACTAGCAACGATGTACGAACTGAGTCACACCTACAACGCCGGACAATCTTTGCAGAACAGCGTCTAAACTATAATTTAAGCCTGTTGAGGATATGCGATCTCCAACTCAAACTTATAAGCAAATCAATATCAATTAGGTTAAAATTCTACTTCAGTAAACCATTATTCAGCCTGATGAAGATAGTTTACGGGATTTCAGTAGATTTTTACGATGATTTTTCTTCTCATATAGTTTAATTATTTCCCATTGAAAAACAACTGACAAACCTAATGTTTTTTTAACTGATTACACTGCATTAACATCAAAAAGCTTAATCTCCAAAACTGTTGTGTTTACTCTGTTAGCGGGCAGAAAAATAGAGAGGATAAGAAAGTTTCGTTAACAATATTTAGGTCGGAGTAGCGCAAATTATTGGCACAGTGCACAGACGTATTAAGACCACACTTGTAAAGCATCTTATTAGCTTCTGATGCCTAAGTCCCAGTCAGATACACTAGATTCAACAGGATTCTGAAGGAGTATATAGGACTGATAAGAATCCCAACTTGAACTTGAATAACCGAATGTTCGGAAAACTGTCATACTTGTTAAAAAATATAATGATTCATCCTGTTTGTTAAATTTTATTATATATGTAAAAATGGAGTCCATTAATACCGATTTATAATTCTTAAACCCAAATTCTCAAAAGAACAGCTTTTTGGCTATAAACCTAGACAATGCAGTCCGATTACGTAGAGATAGTGATGGTAAAAAGCATTATAAACATCTCTAGTGAAAAAAAGTTATCAAAACTTAAAACGTAAAACGATGATGTAAGACTTATCTCCACTGCTATCACATTTAAAAAACATACTGACTACTATGTTTGCCCTAACAGATAAATTAGCTCTAAGAAGTATACTACTGCTATAATTTTCTCTTATTACGACCCAGCTATTCCTGTTACTTAGTATTCTTGGACACCAATTCACTCGACAAGTCCCCGAATTAGAAGACGGTTGAACAGGAACAAAATTATATTCCAAATAAAAAGGGTAGATGGAAGTAAGAAGCACAATAAGAAAAATGTTAGTGTATGTATAGTTTTACATGAGAAGACTCTAGAGTCTTCTCCAAACATCGACAAGTGCTGATTGCATAAGAAACAGCCAATCAGGGTGCACCATAACTATCGTGCACGTAACACGCTTTAATTTAATCTATGTCCTCTCAACAACCACATAGGCCATTACATATCTAGATATATTTCGTTGGACAAATTGGAGCGAACTAAGGCTTCTAAATGAGACTAACACATAAGATAACAAAATAATCTGAGCTGTGCAGGAAAGTAGCACCACAATCACAATAATAATTTCGTATGACTTATATATATATATATATATATATATATATATATATATATATATATATATGTTTGAGACCATTCAGATAACTTCTTCAGGTCATTTTGAAGTCCTAAGCTATCACTCTTACATCGTATCGTTCTCCATATCTTGACATCGTCAGCATATAGCAAGACCGATGATGATAGGAGACAAGGAAGGTCATTTACATACAAGAGGAATAGCACTGGCCCCAAAACTGTACCCTGGGGCACTCCACTAAGCACAGTTTCCCAGCTAGACAACTTGGAGTTCACCCTTACTCTTTGTTGACGCCCAACTAAGAAGTCTTTTATCCACATCAATAAATTACCTCCAATCCCGACATGTCTTAACTTATATAACAGCCGGTTGTGCGGAACTTTATCAAAAGCTTTATTGAAATCAATGAAGGCGACGTCTACAGGTAGCTTTTGGTCCTTAAGAGCACACCAGCTTTCACGAGCCACTAATAAGTTAGTGAGACAAGAATAACCTATTCTGAAGCCATGCTGCTTCTCCGAGAGGATCCGGTTTTTATCGAGATACTTAAACAGCTCCTTCCGAATAATCTTTTCTAATATTTTAACAACCACACTAGTTAGGCTAACGGGGCGGTAGTTCTCAGGTTTGTATATATATATATATACGTCGATTACCCCTCGTGTCGGCTTCCAATTCTCGACTCAGTGTGTTATTTGGCTTCCATCTTTTCCGTTTCCCTTCAGCATTCCAAGTTGGCGCTCGCCTTGTGAGACAGTTTGATTATTTTCGCAATGTATGTCCCATCCACTTCCAGCGTCTTTTCCCAACTTCCTCTTCAGTTCAAGGCTGGTTTGTTCACTTCCACAGTAGGCTGTTGCTGATGATATCCAGTCGACAGAGATTCAGTATCTCCTGTATATAATCGTTTATAAATACTCGTACATTTTTGGTAATGGTTGAAGTTCTCCACACTTCAGCTTCATACAGCACAATTGTTTTGACGTTCGAATTAAAGATTCTGGCTTTGATATTGGTTGACAGTTGTTTTGAGTTCCACATGTTCTTCAATTGTAGGAATATTACCCTTGCTTCGCCAATCCTTACCTTTACGTCTACATCAGATCCTGCTTGTTCCTCAATCATACTCTCCATGTATGTGAAAGTTCCGACTTCTTTCAGAGCCTCTCCATCAAGTTTGATTGAGTTAGTGTTCTCCGTGTTGTATTTGAGGATCCTGTTTTTTCTCTTGTGTGTGTTGAGGCCTACTGATGCAGTGGCTTTTGCCACACCAGTTGTCTTGACCTGTAGTTGTTTTCATGTGTATGGGATAGAAGAGCTAGGTCGTCTGAGAAGTCCGAATCGTTTAGTTGCATCCAAGCTGTCCATTGTATTCCGTGCTTCCCCTCAGATGTAGAGGTTTTCGTAAACTGGCTAGCCTATTCAAGGGTTCTTCAAAGTTTTCTACCCATCAGCTCCTCTGTTCTTGGATCTCAGTGATCGGCTTGCCTTCTTCGTGCTCGACCGGTCTCTCTGGTTTACTATATCTCCCTGCTAGTTTCTTCGTTGTGTCACATAGTTGTTTCATATTTCCTTCTCTTGCAGCTTTTTCCGCCGTCGTTGCTAGTTCTTCCCCACATTTCCGGTGTCAGCTCTAACGCTCCTCTTCACCTGCTTGTTTGCTTCTGTGCATTCAGTTTATGCTTTGACTTTCTCTAATGTTTTTGTTCTTCGTTTCTTGAATCTTGTTCAGGGTTTCCATAGAGATCCATTTCTTATGGTGATGCTTGTTGCGGCCCAGCAACTCCTGACACGTTGAGGTTAGTGTTTCTTTAATCCGTTTCCAGTGGTCTTCCATAGCAGTTTCTTCTTCTTTCAGTAGATCCTGTAAGGCTTGGAACCTGTTGTGGAGAGTTATCTTGAATTCGTTGAGCTTGTTAGTACCTCGAAGGAAGGAAGGCTGTATTGACCCTTTTTTGATGCTGCTTTCCCAGTTGTCCATTGCTTCCTTAACTTCAATTTGATCTTGGCCACAACCAGGTGGTGATCTGGAGCTATGTCAACCCCTTATTTCACACATCTTCCATTGGCCTTCTGAATTTTATAGTTATGTAAATGTGATCGATCCGGTTCTCTGTAGTATGAATTGGTGATAGCCATGTAGTTTTATGCACAGATTTGTGGTGCGATATGGTGCCACCTATAACCATTTTGTTGAATGCACATGGATTTGCAAATCTGTCACCATTCGCGTTCCTTTCTTCCAGTCTATGTCGTTCCATGATGTCTTCACATCTGGTGTTGTCCATTCCGACTTTGGCGTCTGGGTATTCCATCAGGATGGTCAGGTCCTTTCCTAAGCACTTTGCAACGATTATTTGCGACTTCTCGTAAAATTGATCTTTATCGTCGCCGTTGCTATCATTGGGTAACATTCATTGTGATCACTACCCTATTTGTTTGGAAAGATGCATTGATGGTTCTAGGTCCATGAGATTCCCATTTTATAAATGCTTAACGTGCTTCTTTGGACAGCATCAGAGCAACTTCATGAGTGTGTGGGGCAGTTTCCTCTTTGTGACCAGACTAAAGCAACATCTCTCCCGAATCCATAGTTTTCTGTTCAGTTTGGGTTCAATCGGTTTCACTTAATCCGAGCATAGCCAAGTTGAAAATCCTCATTTCCTCGGATATTTGATTAGTCCTTCCGGCCTTCTACTTTGTCCGAACATTCTGTGTACTTATATTAATTGTTGCTCTGGTTGTTAGAAGGGGCATCGGTCTCGTGACTTCCGAAAAATCTCGGTTTTCACCATGAATGAAGATATTTTAACGTCCAAGGTAGAGTTTAAATGGTTAATATTGTGTTTTTTTGTTGGCGTATTTTAGAAAGGTTGTTTCCTACCGAATATGGTTGCTGACCTAATTCCCAACCCTCCTCCTTTAACCAGGCTTGGGACCAACAGTAACCCTTGAAGAGCTACAGGAGCAGTTATATATATATATATATATATATATATATATATATATATATATATATATATATATATATATATATATATATATATATATATATAGTTAGGTTAGTCCTGACTTGGAATCCTGAAGGTGAAAAAAAAGAGAAAGCCGAAGAGGCACATTACATCGAAAGTTGGAGGCAGATGCCAAATCGGTGAATAGAAATTAGAAACAAATGAGGAAGAGAGCACATGACACAGTTGGTTGGAGAATCCTAGTCGGCAGACTATGCTCCTCCACGAGGGAAAACAGGCATAAGTTCGGCCGCCTCTCAGGACGAATCAGACTTCCAAGATAAGTGAAGTTGTCGACGCGTTCGATTACTTCACTCTCTATCCTGAGTCCAGGTGTTGACGCAAGCCAGTCCTGAAGCAACAATTTCCATTTAGAAGGGAAGAAACGCATCCCAAACATCCTGGCATTGTTGCTCAGTGTTACCAAAACACTCTGCATTTTACCGGTGTCCTCACCGACCATATCATCTGCGTATTCTAAATCAACAGGTGAACCTCCTGGTAGCAGATAAATTACCGGAAATTCAGCCGATGAAAACGTTATTTCTAGCAGTAGGTTTATGATGAAATTGAACTAAATGGACATAGTGGACAGCCTTGCCGGACACCACTTGTGGTTGCAAAATCAGATGACAGTTCGCCATAAGCTCTAACTCGACTGATAGTATTCGAGTAAAGAGCCCTTATAAGGTTTATATACTTCTAAGGTACACCTTTCAATGACAGACACTGCCACAGAGCCTTTCGGTCTTCAGAGTCAAATGCTGCTTATAAGTCAAGAACAACTATCATTGTTGGACGCCAATAAGCATACCTGTGTTCTGAAACCTGACGAATGATAAATATGTGGTCGATACAGCAACAACCAGGTCTGAAGCCAACCTGATTTTCTCGTGTTTGCAGTTTACAATAGTATTAGATCGTATATACTATACGTTATTATATCAAACATGAAACCCAAAAATGTTCAACAAATCGATATACTCTAATTATCACTCGGAAAATGGTTGGTAATTTAACTAAGTCATGAGGTCATCCTGAAATTTTAACCTTTTATTGTCTGCGTTGTGACTTACTTCCATGATAACACGTAAGGAAGTCCATATCTCTGTTCGGAACTATTATTCATGAAACCATACGAGACCAAGTTGGTTACATTCAAATCCTTCCCACACCTCTTAATACCACTCTTATCTCACGAACTAACCCATCTCACGTCCTTTTATCCCCTCGTACCTCTAGGGCAAACGATTCGAGTACGTGGAACGTTATTCCTGGTCTCCTGAAACCACACTCTAAACTTCATGTTGGAGCTTATAACGTCCGAACACTGGGCCAAATAGGACAACAAGCTTCCTTAGCTAGGACTTTAGGATCCCGCGCCATCGATGTGTGCTGCGTCTCCGAAACGCGCATACAGGATCCGAGTAGCGTCATTCTTTTGACATCACCATGCCAAAATAAATAACCAACTCGATTCATACTTCGTATACCCGGAAGCCCTAATGCTGCTTCTCTTGGACTCACCGGCGTAGGTATAGCATTGAGTCCTAGGGCAGAACTAGCTCTCTTAGACGGGATCCCAGTAGACAGTCGTTTGTGCGCTAACCGACTAAACGGAACAATAAGGACTCGGAAAGATATGGTGTCGTGGCTCAAAGAACAGATAATGGCGACCGTCTGTTGCAGCTATGCTCAGATAACCGCCTGTTTCTTGCAAATACTAACTTTAAGCATAAGGAAAAACATCTTTTAACTTGGCGACCCCCTAATTCGTCCCAACGTTGGACCCAAATAGATCACATGGCTATCAGCCACCGATGGAGGAGCTCGATAGAAGACTGTCGCTCATTCTGGAGCACATGCCTAGATTCAGATCATTCTTTAGTGCGAGCGCGTATTTGCTTGCGTCTTACTGGACGTAAGAAAGACGCTGCAAGGAAACATCTTACGGCCCTACTTAACGATAGTCAAACTAAGAGTATATTTCAGGAACAACTAGGAAAACAGCTAGGCAGCCATGTATGTGATGCCCACCCCGAGGCAGCATGGAATGATATCCGAAAAGCTGTGGAAACAGAATGATATCTGTTAGTAAGGTCAACCATAAGGTTAGGGAGAAACGCTATCTCAGCAGCATCTATCGCATTGATAGATGCTCGGAAACTCATTCCACCCGGCTCTGAACATAATGAAGAGCGGAGTCAGCTTAAGCGTAAGGTGACAAGAAGTCTACGTAATGATCGCGAACAGTGGTGGGTAGCGAAAGCAAGAGAGATGGAAAAGGCAGCGACAATAGGTAACAGCAGACAATTGTTCAGACTCGTTAAGGAAACAGGCATTAGGAACCCGACCGTTAGCGAAACAATCTCAGAGAAAGATGGACATATTATTCATTCTCAATCCAGGAGATTGGATCGATGGGCAGAACACTTTAGGGATCAGTTCAACTGGCCTTCAGCCACACTTCGGTTTCCCAAGATCTCCAGTCAACCTGAATGGCAAGTTAATGTAGGTCCTCCGTCCCTTTACGAAGTTGAAAAAGCCGTAGGAAATCTGAAACGAGGGAGAGCAGCAGGCCCTGACAGGTTTACTCCTGAGATTTTTAAGGATGGTGGTCCAGTATTAGCAATGAGATTAACCGAGGTCTTAGGTAGAATTTGGGAACTGGACGTAATCCCATCTGACTGGTCTCAATCACTGATTGTGCCAGTCTATAAGAAAGGACAAAAGTCCTCTTGTGACAATCACAGAGGAATCAGTTTGACTAATATAGTGTCTAAAATATTAGCCTCAACAATACTTCGACGCCTAATCACAGCTCGTGAAGAACAGACTAGAGAAAATCAGGCCGGTTTTCGACCTGGACGTGGTTGTATAGATCAGATATTCACACTACGTCAGGTTCTAGAACAGATACGCGTTCAGACGCCCCACAATGGTAGTATTTCTCGACCTTAAGGCAGCATTCGACTCTGTTGATCGTGAGGTTCTATGGCAGTGTTTGTCACTGAAAGGAGTACCAAAGAAGTACATTAAACTTGTAAAGGCTCTCTACTCGAACACAACTGGTAGAGTGAGAGCTTATGGTGAACTGTCATCAGAATTGATTACCTCAAGTGGTGTTCGTCAGGGCTGTCCACTCTCTCCATTCTTGTTTAACTTTGTCATTGACGTACTTTTAGAGATAACACTCTCCTCATCTAAAATTCCAGGGGTTGAAATTCTACCAGGGGATCCACTTGTTGACTTAGAATATGCTGATGACATAGTTCTATTTGGTGAAGACGCTGACAAAATGCAGAGTCTTCTGACCATTCTAAGCAACAATGCAAACATGTTCGTAATCCGATTCTCCCCCTCGAAATGCAAAATGTTGCTTCAGGATTGGGTTACATCGATACCCGAACTAGTGATAGGGAGTGAAGTAATTGAGCGTGTCGACCGCTTCACTTATCTTGGAAGTCTCATCAGCCCTTGTGGTCTGGTGTGTGACGAAATCTCAGCACGGATACAGAAGGATCGACTAGATTTTGCCAACTTGCGTCATTTATGGCATAGGCGAGATATCCGTCTATCAACCAAAGGACGGGTTTACTGCGCAGCAGTTCGTTCCGTCCTACTCTCTGGCAGTGAAACATGGCCGGTAAGAGTAGAGGATATTCGTAGGCTACTAGTATTTGATTATAGGTGTCTTCGAAACATTGCTCGTATATCCTGGGACCATCGAGTAAGTAACACAGTTGTTAGGGAACGGGTACTAGGTAAGGATGGCAAATCCATTGATGAAGTGATGAAACTTCATCAGTTGAGATGGCTGGGACACGTGTTACGTATGCCCAACGACCGACTGCCTCGACGTGCTATGTTCAGTGGTATAGGAGTAGGTTGGAAGAAAGCTAGGGGCGGCCAAACCAAAACATGGAACAAGTTCATGAAGTCACTGACAAGTGGACTGAGTCATGTTGGTAGGTGTAGACTACCTGGTTGGGGACCGCGAGATGACAGTAACCGATGGTTAGAGACCCTGAATGACATGGCTCAAAATCGTTTGCAATGGCGCAGGTGCATCCACTCTCTGTGTTCTCCCAAATTGTAGTCTTCTGAATTCTTCATGTCCCTTTTTTCCTCTTTCCAAATTTATTTCACAGGATTATACTCTTTAAATAACTTCTTCAAACCCTAATTTTTCCGATTACTGCTTATAGTCTTACCGCCTCTATCACTACAGGATTTGAATCGACAACTGCATCTCTGTGCTAATGCGGTATGGCAACTCGAACTGATGTACGTACGTACGAAGTTCTACGTTGTTACTGACTGACTGACTGCCTGATGGATAAAATCTAACGGTGACTACTTTATTATACAGATCAAAGTAGGTGGAGTACATAAAGGTTCAAAAACCAAAAGTTATGGGTTGAGTGCATAAACAATTACATCACATGTCAAATAATTAAACAATAAATGATAAGTGGAACAAGTAACCAAAGCTATTTAGCATGATATGTGAAAATATCTGCTACACTTGTTAAGCGCAACAAAAACCATAAAAAAGTTCGGTTGTCTGTATGTTATTACAAAAATATATTGCTTACCGATGACACGATTTATTACATCGATTACAAAACGCCATTTTCATATGATATGGGCGTGTAGGCCCCTCATTGCAAACTACACAATAACTCGGAATGTGAGTTTCACATACCTATAAGGTGTAGAATAATTTGTTTAGATCCAAATACAATAGTTACACAAAAAGTACAAAAACCGAAATTTACTGGCCTCCATATATATGTAAGTTCATACAAAACTAGGATTCAAAGGGTTAAAATTATATTATTTATGAATACATTAAATGACACAATCTTACCTGACATTGCTCAATGTGTTCGTTTACTTTAGATAAGAAATTTGTCAATTGTACAATCAGTTTCCCATTCAATACTTGACTTATTAAATCCATGGTGAATGTATACGGTTGCTCAAGAAACCATTCAAGACCACATTTCTTAGAAGTTTGCAAATAATTTAGAAAATGGTAAGAAAGTTAGTTAACACGAGAAGACTAAATGTAATTAAACTTATGCTGCAGTTGCTGTCTTGACGTAGTGGTCAATTTTGCCTATCGTAACGACTGAACCGAGCTAAACTGGCTGCAACACGTTTCTTGGGCATCAAAAGAAGCAACTTAAGATTCGAGAACGAATTCGTCCTGTTTACTGTACTGGGGTGTGTTTCTTTAGAGTAACCAGTGTCTATAGCGATGCTGCCTTCTCATAGCAAAATAAAGTTTTTATAAAAGGTCACTCTAAATTGTCACACCTCACCTCAACCCAAGGATAGGTGTCTCCGCTGGTGAGACTTCTGAAGTACGGGACTAAGACAGCAAAAACCTCTCACAAAAAGGCCATGTGTGATTGACCTTAAGCATCCATCACTTGGGCTTTGTGGTCATGGCTTTAGGTCACTAAGATAACTGCTGATTTAGTTCCCATTTCAAGTCAGCTGAGAAGTAAAACAACGCTCTCGTACCTCGGACAGCAGTTCAGATTCTCTTGTTCTGAAGGATTGGTCACATTCACTATCAACATTCATGAACATGTGTTCAGGGATAGTGATGATATTTCAGTTGGTGGCACTATTGAAACACCGATTGCTATTATGTATTACGAATGTAGTCTCAGTGGCTCCCATATTGCCCATTATTTTCCCAACTGAGCAAGAAAAGCGGAGAAGTATTTGGGTTACGATACAAAGATGTGATACGAAAGATAACAACTTAAAACTAAGATCTATCGGTTCATCAAGATTTCCCAGTTAGAGTTCTAGATATGGTGAAGTTCAGCAGCTTGAGGCGCTAACAGATATGAGAGTGTAAGAGCTGGTGGTGATCCTTCTGTAGATTTTTATTCTTAGAAAAGACATGAGCTCTCTTGACTACAACAAAGCTCTCTTGATTTTATTTTCAACTGAATCCAATCTTTTATGACATAACGTTTCTGTTCATTTGTTTATCGACTGCGCTATCCTTCTTTTTTTTAATCTTTTTATAATATTGTAGCTTCACATTTGTCAGGTGCATTTTGTAGTGTTTTTTCACACTATGATGTGCTTAACTGAGTAAATAACAATTTATACAGCATGCATAAGTGATTAGAAGCTTGCTTAAGCAAAGTACGAACTGGGCGTAGAAATATCTTTCTAACTCGCCTTGACTAATAGCCAACAATAAAATCAGCGTAAATCAAGCAATCCTAAATTAGTTAATCGTGTAAAAACATTGGAATTATATATTTAATTTTTTTAAAAAAAGAATTACTAGAGGTTTAAATGAAAGATTAAAAGGAATAGAGTTATTGTACTGATCAGAAAACGTTTTTGTAGTGTAGAACTTTATGCGCGAAATTCAAAAGCCAACCCTACAGTTAGCAATTGGTTTGTGAATAGCTTTGTAGGTGATACAATTAGTGGCTATACTGTGTAGCATTCATAAGAAAAGGTTTATTATCCCACTATATAAACTGAAAGTGATATTCTGCTGAAGCGAAATTACAAGAAATAATTTACTCCTGAAGATCTAAATTCTTCCCGAAACATAAATTGATAAGAACTCGTTCCTTTTTACTTGAATTAAGTTTACAACCAAAGTACATCACTACTGAAGTATTGAATAATGGACACTGTAGTACGCAAGCACTTTAAAATAGGGATTTCATTCACGAGGTTTGAGACTGTTTTTCAACCTCCCATCGAACCTTTATATAAATATTCCAAAAATTGTGGGTAATCGTATATATGACCTAATAAAGTACCCAGACATATACTGGCTTATGAAATGAATGGGTTTTGGTAACGGAAATACTCTGTTTTAGGACAATAAAAACTTATTACAACCCTCAAGGCACATTATATGTCACATAAAACCACCCTATACATTATTTAGTGACAGACTGGTTGTCCATTTATATATTTATTAACTAATAAAGAGTATATAAATTTCTATTTCGCCGAGATTCGGACAATTACTCTTCGAGCTTTCGCCTTACAACATATGTCATGGATGATTTACATATGATATGCTACTTTTTCACATTATAATTATTGTCGCTTTTATAACTAATGCTGATATTCAACATTTTATTCGTAATTACAAATCGTTAAAACTTTTTATAAGGTTTTTGAATTCTTTTACTAGTTATTACGTAGTTTGTCAGTTTTGCAAAACAATTTGGACCAAATTATAAAGTTAAATATAATAATTCTGTTTGCCTAGATATCTTACCTATAGCCTCAATAATTCGCTATTGTTTTTTATGAATAATTCTGAAATTTCTGTTGCATAGTTAACAAACTTGTCACCAGTTTATTTGTACAAGTTTCATTATCAATTATAAAAATGAATAAATTAGTATCGAGTCACGATTTAAAGTGAATTAAAAGGACATATTTCTTCACTGAAGTTGTTACTTAGTATCTAAGTAAGAATTCTTAATTTGCGCAAAAGTATGTATTCTTACTTCAAAATCTAAACTGCAGAGTTTTGCACCTGAACATATATTGAAGTATGGTTGTAGTCTGAAAATCCTAGTACGAATAGAACATACTTGTCTGGCCAACGGTTCATGATAATACCACGATACAGGAACGCGGAATAAATGGCGTGACCAAGCATAATTTAGCCACAAATACGCGGTTCGACATACCTATATAAAAGTTGAGAACCATTTACAGTAACTTATTATCCTATGTGACGTTTTCTTTACATATGAAAAGTAAAAACAAGCGACCTATGAACTTAAAATGAGTGGGTTAGAAGTAATATTTAACTAGACGAAGGATTGTGCTCACAGGGTAACGATTGTCTTGTCATTAGACTCACGAGCAGAACCACAATTCTTGTGGGAGTACAGCAAGACTATTAACCGCTTACATGTATAGAAACCACCGTTTTACTGACGGATCAAACAATTTTACCGATATTTTAGTAAGCATTGAAATTGTGATATTATTTTGATTATCTAACACGCATCAAATAATTACAGTGAGAGGTTTAAAATACATCTAAATGCAACTTAACTAACCCAGGAGTGCGTGAGGAATATATTTATTTACTTGAGTAATAAAACTATTAGTAAAATTTAAAATGAAGAATGAGAAGCCTCAACTACTGCAAGCCAAAAGGTCACGAAATGATTAGGAGTGAAAAGATATGTGTATGCAACCAATCTATAGCAGATGATATTATTTACCTGATGAAATTACATACGACTGAGAAAATATTGTTTTTGGAAAGTTATTAAAATCATAAGTACTAACAAAGCAAATTTCATAAGCACTTTCTTGTTTTTCAAGCAACTTTGTTCGACCATATTGAATCAAATCTAAGAATATGAAAAGACTTACCGGTTTAGGTTCATAATCACCCAGAACAAACATCCAAGATGGAATTTGGTGAGTATCTCCCCAATGACACCTAGAACAATAAAAATATCCTGAGTAGTAGCATAAACGAGCAGAATCCATAGTGCATGCAGTGTCTGCAGCATAATTCTCTAATACATTTAGCTCACTTGCTTGTTTATCTATCGTTAAGCGTCCGTTTTGAGTTTTGATAAATAAGGATGATGAAATCCGACGACTGACTTTTTCAAATGCCTCCATAACAAACGCGTCATACCATGTTTGGATTGGTTCAGAAGCGCTATGAGAAGCAAAAGCAGCATATTTTTTTAGGTTATCAATTGATTGATTGGATCCTACTACAGATGGTCCTGTAGAAATAGGTTTCAATAAATAGGTAGGCAAAGACAATTGTTGAGAACTTAGGTAAGACGTCACGTGATCTATAGAGTTGTGTTTTGGTAATATATCTTGAAAAGCTTTTCCAATAAGTACACCAATACCCGTTTCAATGACCTCATTGATTGTTTTACCCAGATTACGTGTATTCAAACGTCCTGATAAAATTGTATATGATGGTGTAAAATCAATGGATCTCAGACATTCTGCACAAGTCCATGATTGTAAAGTTAGATCTGCCGAAAGAAAAGATAAGTTGGAAACTTCCAAATGTTTATATGAAATACGACGTCTAGTATCAAATAAAGTAACTCCAGTAAGATGAAACTTTGGATTATTATGAGTGCCGCTTTCACTTTCCGTTCGTAAACGCCGACATCCCATATGGTGTTTAGTACTAGTACCGGGAAAAAGTAATGCACCTGGACACCGACGTGTTAGGCTATTAGGACATCCATCAAAATGACACATAACACCACATGCCCGACAACGTAATATTTTGCCAACCGGACCAAGAATTGAGTGCCTACAATATTCGCACGTTCCACCCAGATGACGCATCGCAGAAACACTTTGGAAATCGTGACCACCAGGGAAAGGAGTATGGTGCACAGATGGACGTGAACCCTCAGGACCCATAATTCGGTAAGGCAAACATGGCAGAGACATCTGAGATAAGCTACGTGATAATAAATATAGCTCTGAAAAACGAGGTGAAGATCCAAAATAACAGGAACTTGGTTTCGTCGACACACCTGAGAACTCCTATCGAGTTAAAAATAATAACAAAGGCTGTAACGAATAAGTAAGCATAGAAAAATGAAATGCAAACCTACTAAATATTAACGTGTGGCTAAAAATGCTAGAAATAAGGGGAAACGTAGATTCGAAAGAATCTTAAATTTAGTGTTAAGGGTAGAGAATTAGGTAAACTAATCACAAACCTATTATTCAGTTTTGCACCGTAGTAAAGCTTACTAACTTTGCCTGTAGATCTTCTCGAGTTACTGACGGTCCCAAGCCCTGGTAAAGGGGGGGGGGTTGGGCATGGGGTTAGCGACTCCATCCCGAAAAGCCAACTCGCTAAAAAAACGCTAACCAGAAAAATTAATTCGAACCATTTGAACTCTGTCCTGGAAGTTAGAAAGTCTTCAATTAAAAGAGTTATTATGGCTCATGGTGGAAGCCGAGTTCCCTCTGAAGTCACGAGGCCGATGCCCCTTCTAACAACCAGAGCAACAATTTTCATAGGTACATGGAACGTCCGGACAATGTGAGAGGTCGTGAGGACCAGTCAAATAACAACGGAAATAAGGAGATACAAATTGGCAGTATTTGGAATCTGCAAAACCCATTGAACTCAAGCTGCACAGCAAAGGCTAGATACGGGAGAGATGCTGCTGTACTGCGGTCACGAAGAGGAAAATGCTCCACACACTCAGGGAATTGCTCTAATGCTGTCCAAAGAAGCACGAAATGCACTTGTAGGATGGGAACCTCATGGATCCAGAATAATCAAAGCATCATGCAAATCAAAGAATGAGGGGATCACAATGAATGTTATCCGATCTTACGCACCCACCAATCATAGTAACGACGACAATAAAGATCAGTTCTATGAGAGGCTGCAATCACAGCGAAGTATTCAGGAAAGAAACTGACCAACCTGATGGGAGACCGAAACGCCAAGATCAGGATGGACAACACCGAATAAGAAGATATCATGAGACGACATGAACTGGGAGAGAGAAACTAGAATGGTGACAGATTTTCAAATCTACGTTTATTCAACAACTTGGCTATAAGTGTCACAATATTCTCACACAAACGCATACACAAAGCTTCATGGGTCTCACCGGATCATACCATGCAGAACCATATAGATCACATTTGCATCAACAAAAAATTCAGAAGGACAATTGAAGATGTGAGAATCGGGAAAGGAGCTGACATAGCTTCAGATCACCACCTGGTTGTGGCCAAGATCAAATTGAAGTTAAGGAAGCAATGGACAACTGGGAAAGCAGCATCAAAAAAGGGTCAATACAGCCTTCCTTCCTTCGAGGTACTAACAAGCTCAACGAATTCAAGATAACTCTCCACAACAGGTTCCAAGCCTTACAGGATCTACTGAAAGAAGAAGAAACTGCTATGGAAGACCACTGGAAACGGATTAAAGAAACACTAACCTCAACGTGTCAGGAGTTGCTGGGCCGCAACAAGCATCACCATAAGAAATGGATCTCTATGGAAACCCTGAACAAGATTCAAGAAACGAAGAACAAGAAAATAGCAATTAATAACAGCCGAACACGAGCAGAGAAAGTCAAAGCACAAGCTGAGTACACAGAAGCAAACAAGTGCTTGAAAAGCATTAAAGCCAACAAGCAGTAATACGTGGAAGAACTAGCAACGACGGCGGAAAAAGCTGCAAGAGAAGGAAATATGAAACAGCTTTACGATACAACGAAGAAACTAGCAGGGAGATATAGTAAACCAGAGAGACCGGTCAAACACAAAGAAGCCAAGACAATCACCGAGATTCAAGAACAAAGGAAAAGATGGATAGAATACTCCGAGGAACTGTTGAATAGACAAGCACCATTGAATCCACTGGACATCGAAGCAGCACATACAGACCTTCCCATAGATGTCATTCAAAGATTGAAGAAATCTAGATGATCATCAGACAAATCAAGAGTGGGAGAGCAGAAGGATCTGACAATATACTAACTGAAGCACTGAGGTCAGACATTGAAGTAACTACAAACATGCTTTACCTTTTACTCAAGAAAATTTGGGAGTTAGAACAAGTGCCGACGGACTGGAAAGAAGGACACCTCATCAAGATTCTAAAGAAAGATCCGAGCAAATGTGAAAACTACAGAGGCATCACAGTATTGTCAGTACCAGGGAAAGTCTTCGACAATGTTGCTGAACCGGATGAAAGACGCAGTAGACACCCAACTTCGAGATCAACAGGTTGGATTCCGTAAAAATCGGTCGTGCACAGACCAAATTGCGACACTACGGATCATCGTCAAAAAATCAGTTGAGTGGAACTCGTCATTATTCATCAACTTCATTGACTATGAGGCGTTTGACAGGAGAATATTATGGAAACATCTTCGACACTATGGAGTTCCTGAGAAGATTGTCAATATTATCCAAAACTCATACGACGGACTACAGTGCAAATGGGTTCATGGATGACAGCTGACAAATGCATTCCAAGTAAGGACCGGAGTCAGACAAGGCTGATTACTCTCGTCCTCTCTTTTCCCTATAGTGGTTGACTGGATTATGAAGACCCCGACATCTGAGGGGAAGCACGGAGAACAATGGACAGCTCAGAATCAATTAGACGATTTGGACTTCGCTGATGACCTAGCCCTCCTATCCCATACACACGAACAAATGCAGATAAAGACAACTAGTGTGGCAGCAGCCTCTACATTAATAGGCCTCAACATACACAAAAGAAAAAGCAAGATCCTCAAACACAATACGAAGAGCACCAACCCAATCACACTTGATGGAGAAGCTATGGAAGATGTGGAATCTTTCAAGGACGAGGAAGATCTGATGCAGAAGTAAAGGCGAGGATTTGCAAAACAAGGTCCGCATTCCTACAACTGAAGAACATATGGAACTCAAAACAACCATCAACCAATACCAAAGTCAGAATCTTTAATACGAACGTTAAGACAGTCCTACTGTATGGAGCTGAAACGTGGAGAACTACTACAACCATCATCAAGATGGTACAAGTAATTATAAATAGTTGTCTGCGCAAGATACTCAACATCCATTGGTCGGATACCATCAGCAACCGTCTTCTGTTGGAGAGGACAAACCAGCCTCCGGCTGAAGAGGAAATTAGGAAAAGACGTTGGAAGTGGATAGGACATACATTACGGAAATCACCAAACTGCAATGCGAGGCAAGCCCTAACTTGGGATCCTGATGGGAAGCGGAAAAGAGGAAGGCCAAAGAGCACATTACGTCGGGAAATAGAGGCAGATATGAAAAGGATGAATAACAACTGGAAAGAACTGGAACGGATTGCCCAGGACAGGGTTGGATGGAGAGTGCTTGTGAGCGGCCTATGTTCCTCTATGAGGGACGACAGGCGTAAGTAAAGCTTACTGTTTATGATATATTATATTTTAGTATTTTATGTATCTGATTATGAATTTTACAGTCCGTATAGATGGTGGTTCGATGTAGTCGACAGGAAACCCAGGACCCGGGTTTCGTGCTACTTGGCACTCGTCAGTAAGGTGTATCTGTAATCTTGAGGGAACTGGTGCTCCCTGACGGATTCGATCCCGTGTCACCTAGCTTCACAGTCAGAGACGTTACCACTGAGATATCTAGACGGCGACCGACCTCCTGTAGGACTGAGATGTTATCACAATTGATTGATCACTGGGTGGTGATCAATGTCATGTGTGTTAAGTCATTATTAGTGCAGATCGCAAAACATCACCCAGTGATCAATCAATTTTGACAGTCCGTATAATACAGAATATTTTAGGCACTTGTCTGGTATTACTGGAGTTCTGATTAGTAGTTTGGGAAATAGACTAGAATACTGAGTGGCCTGTCGATCGTTTTCGGCACACACTAACGGTGCTGCCGGAATAATTGTTAACGGAGCATAGTCAACGGGAAATCCAAAATATTAAGTATTTTCAACTTCTAATCATATGTAAATTAAATAACTCGATTCATGAATACGTTACATTGACATACTGAATCCCAATTTTTTACCACACTGGTGGTTATTGACCTCCAACAGAAACGACCAAATAATAACCTTAACGCTGATATTTCAATTAACTTTCACACATACTGGCGAGTACTAAAAAGTGAAATAAAAATGTAAAACGCAAACAAAACATGCATAGTACGTCAGTTCTTTGTGGAAACGCCAATAAAAACCATAGAACAAAGGCTCTGGGAGCAAACGTGATACGATAACTTTCGGCAACAACTTAATCATGTGATGGCAGTGAAAAATCGGTCGGATACAGTTATATCAAGCATTGTACTAGTGAGAAATAAAATGAATAGGGATTACTCAGAATGCCTGACAGTATGAATGTAGTACAATAGTTCATAAGTTGAAAATGACGGTAAAGTTTGGTAGGATAAAGACTTGAGATGTCAGATTTTTTTGAAACGATTCTTCAAAAAACCAGCTGACAACACTATATATGGATTGTGAAAAGTGAGGGAGGACAAAGATCTAGACTCCTGTGAAACAAAAAAGGAACGGAAAACCAACAGCCAAAGGGATATTATAATAGACGAATCGAAAATTTGTCAGGAAAGATAAACATAATATCATGAAATACTCGATATATATTCAGGCGATTAAATATTGTATGAGCCTATTCTACTGTGAACCTTGATATACATGAACTAAATTATTTAAGCTTGTATTCCCAATTAGCTGATGTACCCAGCTAGAAAAACCAAAATTATTAGAACGTTAATAAACTTTGTGGATTGATATGGACACAGCTAACTTTATTCTAATCCAATAAGGATTATTTAGCTAAACCACATTCACATTTTATAGAAGTACAAAAAAGTAGAGACTTATCAATAAGACTAATTTCGGACTATTTAATATTGAGCTTGTAACACGTTATTACCGTTAAGTGAACTTTATTCAGTTAATATATAGCTCCTTACACGACGTTTAGCAATGTCTGATATTAAACGGATGCTTTGGATCCAACGTCCTTTATATATTTCACTAACATACTTTATTACTTATAAGGTTCTAAGTTTCCTGGTAATGGTTTGTAAACGTGATATAAAACAACTTATTTTCAAACAATCAACGTAACTCAGAAGCTGTTCGGAGTAAATATGGAGACGAACTATGTTTACTATTATCTGATGAGTTATACTTTAGTTTGATAAATTTAATTGAGAAGCATGATGTACAAAAATTGTAATCGGAATTTCTGGTATGCTTGAAGCTAAGGTAAAACTGACTAGTCAGTTCCAATCACAATAATAATTGACAAATAGTGGCGACAGATATTACTCCACCTTAACATCCTGTAAAATCCTCCTTAATTGAATCAACCGATCTAATATGCGATCTTTTCTTCCCGACGGCTCGTTAGATAAAGCCAAGAACATATGTTTGCATTTGAGAATTGCATCTTTCAACTCCTCCACTGATGAATTCTCGTTGATGCGTGCCTAGGAAGGATTAAAATAAGTGAGTAAGTACTTGGGACTACAAAAACAAAACTTATTGATATCTAAAACTTAATTACTTGAAGACAAATGTGCTCAACTTACGAAGGGTATGCTGAAATAATCGCTAGATAGATATTCTAAAAAACCTTTCACTCTGAAGTTTGTGAGAGTTGGGGCTATACAAAAATTTAGATATAATTAACTTAACAAACGACCCACCATCATATAGAGCAGATATGAGACTCTGCTGTTCGTTTGTATTACAATTAAAAGGGTTGAGACGTCGAGATCCTTTAGCATCTGCATTATCCATATTATAATGATGTTTGATTTGAAACAACTTAGAACAAAACAAGAAAGCATTTAAGAGACAAAAAACACTGGATTTTAGGGAATGATGTGCGGACAACTTTATGCACTTTGGAAAACCTAGATGAACATCGATTATTAGTGTTGTAAACTTGCAAGTCAACAGATAACTAGAAGACAGAATCCATGACTTGGATGAAGAACTTTAATATTGAAACTAAAACCCTTCAGGGATAAGTTCCGGATACCTTTTTGGTGATCTCATAATGATCCAGTGAATAGAACATAACTAAATTGTGTCGATCCAAATGATGTTATAGTTGTAACGCAGACAAAGAAATACTGCCAACTGCCTAGAGATGTCATTTTTAAATGAGTTTACGATCAGTATTTAATAACTAGGGTTAAGATAAGAAATAAGATTCAGTCAGTCAGTCAGCTACAACGTAGGACCAGGCACATATGTGCATCGGTCCAGGTTGCCATACCGCATCAGCACAACAAGATGAACACCGCATTCACAGCAGTGGTTAGGTCAAAGGTGGTAATATATAAGAGAAAGATTGCATATAGAGATATAGTACAAGAAGAAAGAATTGGTTCGTAGAAAGAAAGATATGAAGCGATTTTAATCTCTTAGTTTAAGGGAAGACAGGGAGTGTATACACCGACACCATTGTGATCGATTCTGAGCCATGTCACCAAGAGTCTCCAACCATTGGTTACGATAGTCACGCGGACCCCAACCAACTAGTCTGCATCTGCCAACATGGCTCAGACTAGAAGTTAGTGTCTTCAAGCACTGATGCCACGTTTTGGTTTGGCCGCCCCTAACTTTCTTCCAACCATTTTCAAAACCGGATAGCATTGCACGTCGTGGTAATCGGTGTTCAGGCATACGTAACACGTGGCCCAACCATCTCAGTCGATGAAGATTCATAACCTCATCAACTGATTTACCATCATTCCCTAATACCCTGCGTCTAACCTCACTATTACTGACCCGGTGATCCCAGCAGACGCCAGCAATATTTCTAAGGCATCTGTGGTCAAATACTAGTAGCTTGCGAGTGTCTTCTACTCTTTATGGCCATGTTTCGCTGCCGTAAATTAAAACAGAACGAACTGCCGCGCAGTATACTCGTCCTTTTATTGATAGACGGATATCTCGCCTTCGCCATAGCTGACGCAAGTTGGCAAAAGCCAAACGAGCTTTTCGAATCCGTGCTAAGATTTCGTCCGATACCAACCCATTAGGGCTGATCAGACTTCCAAGATAAGTGAAGTTGTTGACGCGTTCGACTACTTCACTCCCTATCATCAGTTCAGGTGTTGACGCAGACCAGTCCTGAAGCAACAACTTGCATTTAGATGGAGAGAAGCGCATTCCAAACATTCTGGCATTGTTGCTTAGTGCTACCAAAAGAATTTGCATTTTGTCAGCGTCTTCACCAAACAGGACTATGTCATCTGCGTATTCCAAGTCGAAAAGTGGACCTCCTGGATGGAGATCAATACCCGAGAATTCAGTCGACGAGAATGTTATTTCCATCAGTAGATCTATGATGAAGTTAAACAAAAATGGGGAAAGTGGACAGCCTTGACGGACACCACTTGTGGTTGCAAAATCAGATGACAGTTCACCGTAATCCCTGACTCGACTGGTAGTGTTCGAGTAGAGAGCCTTCACAAGTTTTATGTACTTCTGGGGTACGCATTTCAATGACAGACACTGCCACAGAATCTCGCGGTCAACAGAGTCAAATGCTGCTTTTAAGTCGAGAAAGACCACCATCGTTGGACGCCGATAAGTATGCCTGTGTTCTAGAATCTGACGAATGGTGAATATGTGGTCGATGCAGCCACGACCAGATCTAAAGCCAGCTTGGTTCTCTCTTATTTGCAGTTCACGAGTCTTAGTTAGGCGTCTGACAATTATCGAGGCTAGTATTTTAGATATTATATTAGTTAAACTAATCCCTCTGTGGTTGTCACAGGATGATTCTGACCCTTTCTTATATATTGGGACGATAAGTGATTGTGACCAGTTAGATGGAATAACGTCTAACTCCCATATTTTAGCTAAAATATTAGTCAACCTAATCGCTACAATTGGACCACCATCCTTGAAGACCTCTGGAGCAAATCCATCTGGACCAGCTGCCCTTCCTCGTTTCAGATTAACTATAGCCTTTTGAACTTCTGCTAGAGTTGGGGGACCTACTTCAATATTCCATTCACACTGTCTGGGAGTGGAGGGTAGTTGTAGAGTAGCTGAAGGCCAGCTGAACTGTTCTCTGAAATGTTCCGCCCATCGTTCTAAACGCCTGGACTGGGAGCAGATGAGTGTATCGTCTTTTTCCGATATAATCTCACTTACACTTGACTTATTAATTCCAGTTTCTTTTATTAGTCTGTAAAGCTGTCTTGTGTTCCCTATAGTCGCCGCCTTTTCCATCTCTTTTGCTTTCACTGCCCACCACTGCTCACGGTCGTTTCTTAGACTTTTTCTTAACCTAGATCTGATTTGTTGTCGCTCTTCATCATGTTCAGAACCTGATGGGACGAGTTTGCGAGAATCCATCAGTGTGATAGACTTTGAAGAAATCCACTGGTTCTTTGAAACTCTGTGGTTTAAGTCACTAATAGATGTCACTGCTGTTTCCACAGCTGCTTGTATTTCATTCCAAGCAACATCTGGGTCAGCCTCGTCTTCAGAACTGCCTAATCGTGACCTCAGTTGTTCCTGGAACCTACTTTTGGTTTTCTCGTTACTCAACTCAGTTCTAATGGGTCTTTTTCCTTAGGCTTTTTTGCGTCCAGCGAGGCGCAAGCAGATGCGTGCCCGTATTAGGGCATGGTCGGAGTCCAAGCAGGTACTCCAGAATGAGCGACAATCTTCTACCGACCCCCTCCAACGACGACTGATGGCAAATATAGTCTATTTGAGTCCATCATTGGTTTGGTGTAGGGGGTCGCCATGTTAGACGATGTCTCTCCTTATGTTTAAAATTAGTGTTTGCTAAAAATAAGCGATTGTCTGAGCACAGTTGCAGCAGACGGTCACCATTATCTGTTCGCTGTGCCGGAATGCTAAACTATCCACCTAAATGCCTTTCTGTTTGGTTTAAGCTACTTATCTGAGCATTAAAGTCACCCCTACGAGTACTATATCTGAGCGTTTAGCTTTCTGAAGAAGTTCGGACAGCTTTCTGTAAAATTCATCTTTCACATCATCTGAGCTGCAGTCAGTGGGAGCGTAGGCAGAAACGACGAAAAGGCAACGACGTGTGTCCCTATCCTTCCGAGTTTTTACGGAGCCGTTTAGCCGAACAGCACATAGGCGACTGTTGACGGGGATTCACTCTAGCAGTGCTTGTTCCGCCCTTATGCTTAGTGCTACGCCTACACCTGCCAGTCCACGAGAACTGGCCGTTCGGTCACCAGATACACGGAGGGTGTATCTCGTTGGCTCTCCGTTTTGCCGAGGTGAGGTCAAGTGAATGACCACACTAGAATCCTGTATGCGTGTTTCGGAGACACAGCATACATCAATGGAAAGGGACTCTAGGGTTTTAGCCAAGGAAGCCTGCTGACCGATTTGACATAGAGTGCGTACGTTGAAAGCTCCAATGTGTAGTTTGGAGCGAGGTTTCAGTAGACCTGGGACAGAGTTTTGAGCACTAGAATCGTTGGCTATGGTGACACTTGAGGAGGAAGCCGAAAGAGGAAGTTTAGAGTGGAAAGTCGATGTAGGAGGAATAATAGGAATTGAAGAGGAAGGTTGATTATGAATGCAGTGGTCTTGCGTGCTGTTAGAGGTATGAGGGCGGTTATCACTTCCCGGTTGCCCACACAGTGGAAGGGTTCTTCTGGAGGTACCTGAAAAGGAAATCGGATTAGAGGTGGTCTCAGTGACCTGAGAGCGTGACCGCAGTGCCCAAGGGACAACTGCTTGAGGCCGGTCGCGCACGGCCTTTTCGTGGGAGGTTTTTAACTTATTAGCTCCGTTCTTCAAAGGGCCTTACCGCCAGAGACGGAAATTCGTGAGGTAAGGTGAGGTGTGCATTTTTAGGGTCGACCTTTTCTAACCCCACCCCTCCTTGTGGGAAGGCAGCATCGCTGTCATGCTGGTTGTCTGAAGGAAACACCTTACTGCTGCCACACCTCTGTATCCCGACCGTTGTTGCTACCTTGACGTGGTGGTCGGGCTTGCCTATCGTCATGAAGCAACCGAGCTATACTGGCTGGAACAACCGTTCCTCAAGGTCCTACCATGTCAGACAGGTCGGTTGAAGAGCGGTAAGACTAAAAGCAACAAACTCAACGTCCGAAGGCGACGTCGTACTGCTGACTGTACAGAGGTGTGGCAGCAGTAAGGTGTTTCCTTCAGACAACCAGCATGACAGCGATGCTGCCTTCCCACAAGGAGGGGTGGGGTTAGAAAAGGTCGACCCTAAAAATGCACACCTCACCTTACCTCACGAATTTCCGTCTCTGGCGGTAAGGCCCTTTGAAGAACGGAGCTAATAAGTTAAAAACCTCCCACGAAAAGGCCGTGCGCGACCGGCCTCAAGCAGTTGTCCCTTGGGCACTGCGGTCACGCTCTCAGGTCACTGAGACCACCTCTAATCCGATTTCCTTTTCAGGTACCTCCAGAAGAACCCTTCCACTGTGTGGGCAACCGGGAAGTGATAACCGCCCTCATACCTCTAACAGCACGCAAGACCACTGCATTCATAATCAACCTTCCTCTTCAATTCCTATTATTCCTCCTACATCGACTTTCCACTCTAAACTTCCTCTTTCGGCTTCCTCCTCAAGTGTCACCATAGCCAACGATTCTAGTGCTCAAAACTCTGTCCCAGGTCTACTGAAACCTCGCTCCAAACTACACATTGGAGCTTTCAACGTACGCACTCTATGTCAAATCGGTCAGCAGGCTTCCTTGGCTAAAACCCTAGAGTCCCTTTCCATTGATGTATGCTGTGTCTCCGAAACACGCATACAGGATTCTAGTGTGGTCATTCACTTGACCTCACCTCGGCAAAACGGAGAGCCAACGAGATACACCCTCCGTGTATCTGGTGACCGAACGGCCAGTTCTCGTGGACTGGCAGGTGTAGGCGTAGCACTAAGCATAAGGGCGGAACAAGCACTGCTAGAGTGGATCCCCGTCAACAGTCGCCTATGTGCTGTTCGGCTAAACGGCTCCGTAAAAACTCGGAAGGATAGGGACACACGTCGTTGCCTTTTCGTCGTTTCTGCCTACGCTCCCACTGACTGCAGCTCAGATGATGTGAAAGATGAATTTTACAGAAAGCTGTCCGAACTTCTTCAGAAAGCTAAACGCTCAGATATAGTACTCGTGGGGGTGACTTTAATGCTCAGATAAGTAGCTTAAACCAAACAGAAAGGCATTTAGGTGGATAGTTTAGCATTCCGGCACAGCGAACAGATAATGGTGACCGTCTGCTGCAACTGTGCTCAGACAATCGCTTATTTTTAGCAAACACTAATTTTAAACATAAGGAGAGACATCGTCTAACATGGCGACCCCCTACACCAAACCAATGATGGACTCAAATAGACTATATTTGCCATCAGTCGTCGTTGGAGGGGGTCGGTAGAAGATTGTCGCTCATTCTGGAGTACCTGCTTGGACTCCGACCATGCCCTAATACGGGCACGCATCTGCTTGCGCCTCGCTGGACGCAAAAAAGCCTAAGGAAAAAGACCCATTAGAACTGAGTTGAGTAACGAGAAAACCAAAAGTAGGTTCCAGGAACAACTGAGGTCACGATTAGGCAGTTCTGAAGACGAGGCTGACCCAGATGTTGCTTGGAATGAAATACAAGCAGCTGTGGAAACAGCAGTGACATCTATTAGTGACTTAAACCACAGAGTTTCAAAGAACCAGTGGATTTCTTCAAAGTCTATCACACTGATGGATTCTCGCAAACTCGTCCCATCAGGTTCTGAACATGATGAAGAGCGACAACAAATCAGATCTAGGTTAAGAAAAAGTCTAAGAAACGACCGTGAGCAGTGGTGGGCAGTGAAAGCAAAAGAGATGGAAAAGGCGGCGACTATAGGGAACACAAGACAGCTTTACAGACTAATAAAAGAAACTGGAATTAATAAGTCAAGTGTAAGTGAGATTATATCGGAAAAAGACGATACACTCATCTGCTCCCAGTCCAGGCGTTTAGAACGATGGGCGGAACATTTCAGAGAACAGTTCAGCTGGCCTTCAGCTACTCTACAACTACCCTCCACTCCCAGACAGTGTGAATGGAATATTGAAGTAGGTCCCCCAACTCTAGCAGAAGTTCAAAAGGCTATAGTTAATCTGAAACGAGGAAGGGCAGCTGGTCCAGATGGATTTGCTCCAGAGGTCTTCAAGGATGGTGGTCCAATTGTAGCGATTAGGTTGACTAATATTTTAGCTAAAATATGGGAGTTAGACGTTATTCCATCTAACTGGTCACAATCACTTATCGTCCCAATATATAAGAAAGGGTCAGAATCATCCTGTGACAACCACAGAGGGATTAGTTTAACTAATATAATATCTAAAATACTAGCCTCGATAATTGTCAGACGCCTAACTAAGACTCGTGAACTGCAAATAAGAGAGAACCAAGCTGGCTTTAGATCTGGTCGTGGCTGCATCGACCACATATTCACCATTCGTCAGATTCTAGAACACAGGCATACTTATCGGCGTCCAACGATGGTGGTCTTTCTCGACTTAAAAGCAGCATTTGACTCTGTTGACCGCGAGATTCTGTGGCAGTGTCTGTCATTGAAATGCGTACCCCAGAAGTACATAAAACTTGTGAAGGCTCTCTACTCGAACACTACCAGTCGAGTCAGGGATTACGGTGAACTGTCATCTGATTTTGCAACCACAAGTGGTGTCCGTCAAGGCTGTCCACTTTCCCCATTTTTGTTTAACTTCATCATAGATCTACTGATGGAAATAACATTCTCGTCGACTGAATTCTCGGGTATTGATCTCCATCCAGGAGGTCCACTTTTCGACTTGGAATACGCAGATGACATAGTCCTGTTTGGTGAAGACGCTGACAAAATGCAAATTCTTTTGGTAGCACTAAGCAACAATGCCAGAATGTTTGGAATGCGCTTCTCTCCATCTAAATGCAAGTTGTTGCTTCAGGACTGGTCTGCGTCAACACCTGAACTGATGATAGGGAGTGAAGTAGTCGAACGCGTCGACAACTTCACTTATCTTGGAAGTCTGATCAGCCCTAATGGGTTGGTATCGGACGAAATCTTAGCACGGATTCGAAAAGCTCGTTTGGCTTTTGCCAACTTGCGTCAGCTATGGCGAAGGCGAGATATCCGTCTATCAATAAAAGGACGAGTATACTGCGCGGCAGTTCGTTCTGTTTTAATTTACGGCAGCGAAACATGGCCATAAAGAGTAGAAGACACTCGCAAGCTACTAGTATTTGACCACAGATGCCTTAGAAATATTGCTGGCGTCTGCTGGGATCACCGGGTCAGTAATAGTGAGGTTAGACGCAGGGTATTAGGGAATGATGGTAAATCAGTTGATGAGGTTATGAATCTTCATCGACTGAGATGGTTGGGCCACGTGTTACGTATGCCTGAACACCGATTACCACGACGTGCAATGCTATCCGGTTTTGAAAATGGTTGGAAGAAAGTTAGGGGCGGCCAAACCAAAACGTGGCATCAGTGCTTGAAGACACTAACTTCTAGTCTGAGCCATGTTGGCAGATGCAGACTAGTTGGTTGGGGTCCGCGTGACTATCGTAACCAATGGTTGGAGACTCTTGGTGACATGGCTCAGAATCGATCACAATGGTGTCGGTGTATACACTCCCTGTCTTCCCTTAAACTAAGAGATTAAAATCGCTTCATATCTTTCTTTCTACGAACCAATTCTTTCTTCTTGTACTATATCTCTATATGCAATCTTTCTCTTATATATTACCACCTTTGACCTAACCACTGCTGTGAATGCGGTGTTCATCTTGTTGTGCTGATGCGGTATGGCAACCTGGACCGATGCACATATGTGCCTGGTCCTACGTTGTAGCTGACTGACTGACACCTCTGTACAGTCAACAGTACGACTTCGGACCTTGGGTTTGTTGCTTTTAGTGTTACCGCTCTTCAACCGACCTGTCTGACATGGTAGGACCTTGAGGAACGGTTGTTCCAGCCAGTATAGCTCGGTTGCTTCATGACGATAGGCAAGCCCGACCACCACGTCAAGGTAGCAACAACAGTCGGGATATTTAAGATTAGAATTTGATTAATGACTAGGATGTAAGGTTTGGGATTAGGATGTATAGTTTAGTAGTAAATTTAAAGTAAACAGAAAGACTTTAATATATTTACCCGCCTTAGCCCATCAGAGAATATAAATGACTAGTACACAATTTAAAAAACGAAGGACTCAACGACTAATATTTTGGCTTTACATGATTAATGAGCTTATCTAAGTTATCTACTGGTTCTTAGCCATTGGAGTTACGATCGAAGTTCCAGATTGAGTTTGAATTCAATTAACATATGACATAATCCATAGTCCAAACCTTAAAGCCCACTTATAAATCATATACCTAAGAACTTATCCTGCTCCTAAACGTGACCACTGAAACCCACGCAAAAAAGAAAAGACGGAGGCAGTGAAAATTCAGGCAAGAACTAAGGGGGTAAAATACGCAGTGTTCAGTATTTGGTGGTCTTCCAAGACCACCAGAATGGACATGTCCATCCTGAAGATACCATGTGTGGTAGAGCGTGAGGTGCAGTGTGGAAGAATCCGGCAAAAAGAACGATAATAAACGCACACAGAATGCATTCATAATTTGATAATAGAAGAAATGGGGTGAGAGTATAAATTACGGACGATGTTTGAGCGAAGCTGAAGTGACCCTGAGGGTGGACACCTACTGATTAGGACTAAATGAGGGATATGAAGCAGTTAGGATTCTCATTTACAGTTTATGGTAAGGGTTCAAAAGTAGACTTAGGGCTTTCATCACGAACTAACATCAGCTATAATGGCAATACGGATGAATTTTGCGCCAAAATTCGTGACTCGATATCTTGTATCTGATTGGTTCGTACATAAATTATATTCTCGCCACCTGGGAATTTTCAGCCTTTTGTAGGTTCGCTTTTAGGCTGAAAGTACATTGTGTGCTTGAGTATTTAGTATCGGTAAGTTAGACTATCTAGAAGAGAAGATAGCAAGATAAAAATTGTGCCAACAATTCAGTAAGCAAATATAACTCACATTTGATAACGAGACGAATGACAACAATCATAAATAACACAAACTTGTGATAAAAACGATCTGATTGTCGAAACATGTTCTGTAAGTCTTCGACACGGGTGAATCTATCAAAATTCAAATTCACGCGCATTATTTAAAAGGACAGTGGTATTGTTTCTCGTTGAGTCAATTAACTGTTTTGATCGTAAAGTACGCATCAAAACTACTGTTTACACTTTAATTGCATCTACCCCAGTTAAAGTGATATTGTATTGAGTGTTTCGATTATGCTTTTGTGTATTTATTGCATCGAAGCATACTTGGTCGACTTTTACTTGATTTATCTAGTTAAGGTTTGAGAATCCTGTTTTCTTCACCGTTCTAGTTGATTTTCAAGATGGCTAGATCTGCTCATAAATGTGGACAATCATATTGCTTATTTCCCGTGAAGGAAGGGATGCAGTGTGATGAGTGTAATAAGTGGTTCCATAAGATGTGCACCCGATTAAGCCCCACTGCATATAAACGGTGCTCAAAGCCCAACTCTCATTGGCTTTGTAGTTTTTGTTGCTCGAGCGAAACGCTGCTTATCCAGGAAGCAATTAGTCTCCTGATGTTGGTTCGTAAGGGCGGCCTGCTTGAGCATCTGGGTTACCTGTTCCTGCCATCTAGATATTTCAACAAGTTATCTATTGTTGTTTGTTTTAATATATCATTATGTTTATTAATCGCATAACCTATTCTGCTGCGTTTCTGAAAAGTGTACAACCTTTCGTTGTCAAAGTTACAGAAAACTCAATAAGAGACAATATGGTTGCTGGCAATATACAACGAAAAGAATGTACATTATTCAGTTGTTCATTCACTGAAGTGCTAACATCTAACTGGCGATCCCTCAATATTTATCGCCAGGACCGACCAAGAAGAAAGAAACGGAAACTTGTTGAAATACTTTGCGCTGAGAATTCTATATTGTACCAAAATTATAATATTGAATAAAGCTAATAATAATAAGGTTGATGAGGGCTGTACTGGCAACATTGGTACTGATGGCGAAGATTGCGTTAGTGTCGTGAGCGCTGTCACGGCACAAGCCAGATATCTAACTGTGCAACCCGCTATTAAACCGTCTACCCCGAAACAATCAATGAGTGACACCTCATTAGATATTGGTGGCCATGTTGCTACAGCAGCAACCGGTGACCCAGATAAAACAGTTACTGTCCCGAGTGGTTTAATGTGGATGCTACGACTGATGGAATATGGATGACACGGAAACGTAGAAGAGTAGGAAAGACAGCTAAAACTAGTGACCGTTTACTTGATAAGTCCTTGGTAGACTCTCAGACCACTCCGCCAAAGTCCCATAGTAGAGCTTCGTCTAACATTGTTGTGAGTCACTCGCTCGACTCCCAGGACTCTGTTACAATAAAAACTAGTCGTAAGATACCAGTAGTTAAAATACAGGATCTAACGTCACGGTCGAAAGCTGTGAACACAGTTTCAAAAGAAACTAAACCCCTCCGTAGTTTAATTATTTAGAATCTAGAGGAGTCGAAAGACAACGACCCTGCTAGAAGACATGCACATGACCTGCAGTTAGTGGAGTCTATGGTAAGGAATGCACTACCTGAAGAGGTTTCAGGAGTACATATAACAAAAGTAATACGACTTGGTAAATGGGTTGGAGGCGAGACCTAACCAAGAAGAATCCTGAAGCTGGTTCTCGGGAGTTTTGAGGAAAGACGTATTATTGAAAGGCGCACTAAACACTCGTGACTCAAATATCCGTATTTGACTGGATTGGCTGCTTGAGGATCGAATCAAGTGGAAGAATGCTCTTTCGGAGTTGAGGACTCGCAAATTAAATGGCGAAAATAACCTTACCATAAAGGGTTTTCGGGTAGTCAGGTCTTGGAAGCCAATGCTTCCGAGGCCTATATGGGTAGAACGATTGCCAAAACACCTTAAGTGTATGCTACACGAACGCCCGTAGTCTTAGGAATAAATTGTCCGAGATAAGTCTGATGGTGGAGGAATTATGTCCCGATATAATCGTTGTTACAGAAACTTGGCTCACCCTTGATACAGACTGTTCTCCTTTCATTGCTGGTTATATCTGTATTAGAAGCGATAGAGTTTCAAGTCGCAAAGAGGGAGATATAATATTATACGTTAGGGATCACTTTCGTATACAATCAACCATACCGGAGGCTCATACCAGTGGCACATGTGAGGTTGTATGTTGTAAGATTAAATCTAGCAATGGGTTAGTGACTATAGGGGGAATATACCGTAGTCCGTCTTGTCTTGCTGACGACTTTATCCTAAGACACATCTGTTCTTGGAGTATGGCAGAATGTTGTCTCATCATTGGGGACTTCAACGCACCGCATATCAACTGGATAGAGCTTACAGCTCCAGGTAGTGGCTTCGAAAGCGACCTTTTATCTATCATTATTCAGTGTGCGTTTGTACAATGTATCACAAAACCGACACATATTGATTTGCAACATGATCCGTCACTGCTGGACCTCGCCCTCATCCACTACTGTGAGGATGTCTTCAATATTCAGCACCTTCCCCCACTAGTTAACAATGATCACGTTGTAATTCACTCTAAGTTTAGGACACATGGCATACAATTCGTATCTGCTCCACCCCGTCCCAATATCTGGCGAGCCAATATTCCGGAAATCAGAAACTGCTATCTCGACTTATTGGTCGGTCGACTCAGATGGATTGATCGAAGATGAATGGAAAAAGTTTAAGGCTACATTCGAGTCCGTAACGTCGCCGTTTATCCCATGGTCAGCACGTAAGCTATCACATCGTCCTCCATGGATTAATAAGGAAACTCGGAAGCTGTTAAAGCGTAGGAAACATTTCTGGGACTTATTTTTGTTGACAGGTCATGCACCATTTAAGCGTGAGTACCAAAAATTCCGTAATATCTGTAGAAAAACCATAGCCAAATCCCGTACCACTTATGAACGACAGTTAGTATATGATAGCCGTACTTTTCCGAAACGATTGTTTTCGTATGTTAAACGGCGGACGAAACGTAGTGATGGTATTCCCTCGTTACTGTTACACGAAAATTCAGAATTACTAGCTGAATCGGATCGACCAAAAACTGAGACTTTTTCAGACTATTTTACGGAAGTCTTCTCTACGTTTATTGTAACAAATACTTGTCCCACTCACACCGAGATACCAACCATTGAATCTGTACAGGTGACTGAGGAAACTGTCCTTCCGTTGATAACTAACCTCAAACCTGGTAAGATACCGGGCCCTGACGGGTTACATCCATGGTTGCTGTCATCTCTTGCGGACATTATTTCAAAATCGCTCGCGACACTCTTCAACATGTCTCTTTCACTCGCTCAACGCCCTAGAGATTGAAAGGACGCTATAGTTAGTCCTATATTTAAGGACGGTCAGCGACAGATAGTATCTAACTACCGGCCTGTCAGTCTGACTAGCATAGTCGTTAAGTTACTTGAAAAGTAAATTCGGGTTAAGTTGCTAAGCCACATAGATTTACACAGTCTGTTAGCTCCTGAGCAACATGGATTTCGTAACAAGCGTTCATGCTTGACTAACTTGTTTATTGCGAGGGAGGATTGGACAGCAGCCCTAGATAACGGTCTGTCTGTTGATGTGATATTCATAGATTTTAGCAAAGCATTTGACAAGGTTTCACACCTAGGTCTTATGCAGAAGCTCACGAGCTTCGGAATAATAGGCACTGTACATGAGTGGATATGAAATTTCTTATGTGACCGCAGACAGAGAGTGAGGGTCCACGGAACACTATCCGATTGGAAGCCGGTCAAAAGTGGTGTACCCCAAGGCACCATCTTAGGCCCTCTGTTCTTCCTTCTCTACGTTAATGAGTTACCGCTGTTACTTAGGTCGTCGACACTATTGTCTGCGGATGATGTAAAAATCTGGAGAACAATAAAAAGTGCGGCTGATCATCTGGATCTTCAAGCTGACTTAGACGATTTAGTTAGATGGGCTCGAGAGTGGGGCTTAGAAATCAATGCTAGGAAGAGTGTGCTAATGCACATCGGTCACGGTAATAGTTACCGTTACACTATGGAGGGTAAACCTCTTCCATGCGTTCAAGAGCATAAAGACTTAGGAGTAGTATTAAGTCATGATTTAAAAACAACTACGCATTGCAAAGCAGCCACTGTCAAAGGTTTTCGTGCGTTATGGTCACTTTCGCCGAGCGCTCAAATCTTTTGACGAGGAAACGTTTCGAATTTTATATCCTATATATGTTAGACCACATTTAAAGTAATGTATCCAAGCAGCCAGCCCGTTTCTGGTAAACGATACTAACTTCCTTGAGCGTGTCCAGCGTGTAGGAACGAAATTAGTGAAGGGTCTTTTTAGACTCCCTTACGATGAGCGTTTAAAACGCCTAAATCTTTTCCCCTCGTCGTATCTTTGGACACGAGGTGACTTTATACTGGCATTTCGTATCTTTAATTATGATTTGGGTGTTAATATGTCTTATCTTAAAGTCGGGTCCCGTTTTTCTCACCGAGTAGTCAGTCACTGGAACGCCTTACCCGAACAAGTTGTATCAGCCCCATTAGTGAATACATTCAAGGAGAAGCTGAACTTTCACTGGAAAGCAATGTGTCAGGATTAATACAGGTTCACCAACCTACTGTCCTTATTACTGAAAACTGAAGGCAACGCAACCATGTAAACTTAATGTGCAAAGTTTCAGGGGTACCGCTCACTGACGGAGGTTGCACCATCTCTCGGACCCCAACCAGGGAGTAGTGAAGGACCAACACAAGCCAGTCCTTTGCAGCTTTCTTTCATGCCACGACACCATGTCATGCACTGACCACCTCTCCGCTTTTTCCAACCAGTCCCAGA